GAGCATTACAATATAGCCCATCCTCCAGCAGACATAAAACCTCCTCATCTTTTCTTAAATTACAAAAATAAGTTCAATGATATTTTCACATGACACGAGACATCTCCAGTGAGTTTGCACTCTTTTAAGGAGATGAGGTTATGAAAGCTTTTCTAATATTTATACAGATAAGCAGTTAGGTAGTATCTAAGGACGATTGTCGGTGCACAGTTCAACAGATGAAGGTGGACAGTCGACAGAGATGAATCGGCCAGACGTCGAAGGTATATGATGCCAAGCTAAAGATGTCGTAGTGAAGCAGGGCCGGTGGGAGCGTCCACTCAGCTAGACATTGGAAGCTTAGCATACCATGCTGACATCTTTAACGCATAGGCGGTGGAGTGGGGCAGCCACCACATCAACCAGAGAGGATGCATCCTACTGGAGGCAATGGCCAAACTGGATGTTGTACTATCCAACACCGGCTCGGTCAGTACCTACAGAAGGAATGGTGCAGAATCCGTCATCGACGTGACATACTGCAGCGCGAGTTTGGAGGGCAACCTACACAGGAGGGTCGATGAGGGTTACACCCATAGTGACCATCAGGCGATCCGGTACAGTGTGGGGCCAGGTGAGAGGCGAGTGGCAGGAGGAAATCCTTCCTGCGCTCGAGGCTGGCGGACGTCGTTCTTCGAGGAAGAGGTCTTCAGCGAAGCACTGAGGCGGGAGCGAATAACCCCGGATCTGACGGGGGAAGAACTGGTAGCAGCGCTGACAAGGGCGTGCGATACAACCATACCTAGGAGAGCCTATCCCAGGCATGGCCATAGACCGGTGTACTGGTGGAGCGAGTCGATTGTTATCCTCAGGGCGTCTTGCCTCCGGGCGAGAAGGAGGATGCAACGAGCTCGTACGACTGGCTCCGATCGTTGGGTTCCTGTTCCCACGTAGGGACGTAGACTCCTGGCCGCGGATCCCAGGCGCGGATCAGGGAGAAGTGTCTAGAGTGACGAACAGTGAACTTGGCGGTATTGCCAAGTCGCTGGTGGTGGGCAAGGCCCCGGGCCCAGATGGGAACCTGGTTGTGGCTCTGAGGGCGGCCGTTGCGGAAAATCCAGACATGTTTCGTTCTGTTTTTCAGACCTGTCTGGACGTAGGCATCTTCCCAGATGCGTGGAAGTGGCAGAAGCTGGTGCTGCTCCCGAAGCCAGGAAAACCCCCTGGGGACCCGTCAGCATACAGGCCCATTGGTTTGCTGGACACCACTGGGAAACTGCTTGAGAGGGTCATCCTCAACAGGTTGTCGGCCTACACCGAAGATGTAGACGGCCTGTCAAGCAGCCAGTATGGGTTCCGTAAGGGCAGATCCACGGTGGATGCCATCCGCGACGTCATCCAGACGGCAGAGGTGGTCCACCGGAAACGAAGGGGCATTCGTTACTGCACGGTGCTAACCTTAGATGTGAAGAACGCGTTCAACAGCGCGGGGGGCGATAGCCCGCTCGCTACACCAGCTCCAAATTCCCGGAGGGCTGTATAAGATTCTGGAAAGCTACTTCCAGAATTGTGTGTGGACGTACGACACAGAAGATGGCGAAAAATGCGTTAGAGTCACCGCAGGAGTGCCACAAGGCTCCATTCTGGGCCCGGTGCTATGGAACGTCATGTACGATGGACTGTTGAGGATAAAATTCCCGGTAGGCGTGAAAATTGTAGGTTTTGCCGACGATGTCACGCTGGTAGTCTACGGGGAATCCCTCGAGGAGGTAGAGCTGACAGCGGCTCACTGCGTCAAGCTTGTGGAGGAATGGATGAGATCCAGGAAACTGGAGCTCGCCCATCACAAGACGGAAGAGGTCGTAGTCAACAATCGCATGTCAGTACAGCATGCGACGTTGACAGTCGGCGGAAGCACAATTAGGTCTGTGCGCTCTCTGAAACTCTTGGGGGTTATGCTCGATGATAAGCTCAGCTTCGGCTGCCACGTCGAGTACGCCTGCAAGAGAGCGTCTATGGCTGTGGGGGCATTATCCCGTATGATGTCAAACAGCTCGGCAGTGAATGCCAGTAAGCGCAGGCTCCTCGCTGGGGTCGTAGTATCTATCCTCAGATACGGCGACCCTGCGTGGGCTGCGGTACTGGATATTGACTGCCACAGGCGGAAATTAGAGGGCACACACAGGCTAATGTGCTTGAGGGTGGCCAGTGCATACCGCACTATCTCGAGAGAGGCCGTCTGTGTCATAGCAGGGATGATGCCAATCAGCCTTATCATTAAGGAGGATGTGGTGTGCTATGACGCGAGGACCGTTCGAGGGGTGCGCAACAACGCGCGAGTTGTGTCGACCGCGAGATGGCAATCGGAGTGGGAAAACTTCCACTTGACACAGTTCCTGTCAGGCCATGGCTGCTTTAGGAGCTACCTGCATAGGTTCAGACATGCAAGTACTCCCATCTGCCCCACGTGTGCTGGCGTCGAGGAGATCACCGAACACGTTGTGTTCGCCTGTCCACGCTTCGAGCCAGTATCGAGCGCTATGCGGGCGATATGCGGAGCGGATACCAGTCCGGATAACATCGTTCCTATGATGTGTGGTACCACCGAGAACTGGAGCGCGGTGGTGACTGCGGTCACCCACATAGTTTCGGAATTACAACGACAGTGGCGTGCCGAGCAGCAGTTGCCTACTGCCCGATTAGATCGATAGAGTATTGCTAGAGAGGCGCCATAGCGCTACAGCGGCCCCTCCCACGAAGTAATGCCTTCGGGCGGTTCCGGGGAGGTCAAGGGACAAGCGCACAGGGTAAGGTTTAGTGGGTCGGGAGTGAAATTCTCCCATCCCCACACCCTGAGTTCCTTCTCAGGTGTCTGTGAGCAGTTCCCCCCTGTATAAAAAAAAATACCATGCTGACATAGAGTTGGTGATCAATCAGACTGAAAGGCAGATGCTGATCGCTGGGAGCATTGGAACAGCTAAACGTCAGGAACAAAGGATGTCAAGCATTGCGGATCTGGAACCATTTGTTGTACAAAGAATTAGGGGCGCAGTATCACTGGCGGCTTCAGCCAGACATATACCAGTCTAAGTTACCTGACATTTACATGTCGGGGCGTAGGATGCCATGCTATCAATTATGCTGACAGAGAGCTGATGTTCAAACCAATTGATTCCAAGTTAGCGATGTCACCGAGAAGCGGATATTGCGGATCTGGAACTATTTGTTGTTCGTACCATTAGGGGCGTAATATCACTGGCTTCGGCCAGACATAATAGTACCAGTCTAAGTTACCTGACAGAGAACTGGTGTTCAACCAGACCGAAGAAGATGGCGGCTAGGAGCACCGAATCAGTTACATGTCGGGGTGTAGGATGCCATGCTATTAAAGATTCGGTATTAAAAGAGAGAGTCGATGAAGAGAATCGATCAATGTAGATTGGTCAATTTGAAACTTAACGCGAGAAGTGTCCAGAAAATACTCTTTAACAAATTTATGTTGGTCCTGAAAAGGACCGTTTTGACGTGACGATTGAGTAATTCTGAGCTTTTAAGATGTTTTACACAGATAATGCTGGCGAACTGTATGTTTTTTTGGAACGGTGACGTGCTTGACATTGATGACGCACAGCGGCTCAGGACGACCAACTGAAATCCGATCAGTAGCGGTGCAACTTCTTTCTTCTTCTTCGGTGAATGGACCGCTCAGTGGGCTGCAGCTCACGCTTTTGGGTAGTCTTTCTGCGTGTACTGTAGAACAATCTACAACGCCACGTGTCGAAAGCACTGCTGCTGCTGCTTTTGATGACCATGGCATGACCATGACACTACCACTCACCACACGCGGTGATTGAATAAACACCGTTCGGTAAGACCGGAGTGAATTCGAGTTCGAAATCTGTGTTAGGGAAAGCGTTTTTCTCAATCAATCGGTGATAATTTTCATTATAGTTGCACATTCGTGCAATTTTCAATAGTGACCTTTTGAAAATTGATAAAGTGTTCATTTTAGCAGATTCGTACATGATATTCCAATCGACTGGGTTGTTTAGAATTAATATCCATCAGCTACTGACAGAGTTATAAGTGGTCAAATCCTGACCACTTTCCGTAACCCGATCGATTTTGGTTTTTTGGTTTGTAATTGCACCCCCAATATGTTTCCGAAAGACGTAATCCTACATAACAAAAACATTGCTGCATATAGCAACGAGCCGATAGCAGATGAATCTGCTAACGGTAAACCCAGCGTTAATCACTTGTCCATAAGCTCAATCAGCGGAGGTTAATAGGGCCGAAGGGCAAGCCCTGATAAAATTTGTATGGTTATTTTGCTTAACGACGTGTTCGGGTATCATCCAAATCATTTGAGGAATAGTTCAATCATTTGTGTTATCATTCGGGTGTGGTATTTTTTTTATTCGGAAGAGGAAAAAGGTCTAACATACGTGTTCGAAACGAGAATTGAATAAACTTGCGGACACTCGCGGGGAACTCGCGACTCCACCGACACGGCAATATTGTAGGCAACGAGAGAAGTCAAACTTTCTTCCACCGAGAATGATCTTAATCTGTTTTCTTTGAAACGATATGATTGTGTTTTTATTCGACCGATAGCAACGTGTGCACGTCCAGATCGGTGACCGGGTGGAGATCAACTGAACTATATTCAGATCTCGGCTACTACTCTACTCTACTCGATCACTACCTACTATCCAGAGAGCCAGAGAAGCTGGTGTTGGTCGGCTATCACAGAATAGGCTATTGTGATAGTCCAGGGTCAGTGAAAGTATATAAGGCAAAGGCCGACATCGATTTACAGGTATTAGGGTGGTGCGAAAACGATTATATATAATTTACTTTAGGAGTAGGATTTTAATATAAATACTTTTAAGTGCATGTATCTAGTTATAAGTTTACTTTTAAGCAATGGTATTTAAACAAATATAGAATTAAGAATTTGACCTAAACGAACTAACTAACACACCGGCCACCTTGAATTACATTTCAACATTAAACATTTATTCTTCGTCTTCACTTAAGACTGCGTCTATAGCTGGGCCTCCTGCACCTGCAGAGGCCTTGAGGTTACCAGGATCACCTGTTGATCCTGTGGAGTTTTCCGGTGCGACCGAGGGACCTGCGCTTGGATCGGGAAGTAGTGCTGGATCAACCTCGATTGGCAGGATACACAGCTTGGAAATGGAGCGTTTCGTCACGGTTCCGGATGGCAACCTGACAGAGGCTACGCGCACCATTCCATCTGCGCCCGGATGAATGTCTACCACTCGCCCCAGGGACCATTTCAGGACTGGGAGGGACTCTTCCTGGATCATGACCATCGACCCGACAGCCAGATTGCGGGTTACGGATGACCACTTGTACCGTTGTTGTAGGGTTGTTAGGTACTCACGGTGCCACCTTTGCCAGAAGTGCTGCGTGTGCCGTTGAGCTCGTTCCCACAAGCGTAGACGATTCTCAGGAAGGCTGGTGTAATCGGGGTCGGGCAAGGCATCCAGAGGCCGCCCAATTAAGAAATGCCCTGGTGTTAGGGCTTGCAGATCGTTTGGGTCACTGGAAAGCGGTGTGATGGGCCTGGAGTTGAGGCAGCTTTCGACTTGCGCTAGGATGGTGCTAAAGATTTCGCGTGGCAAGAAAGCGTTTCCAATGACTCTTCGTAGATGATGTTTCATCGACTTGACACAAGCTTCCCATAGCCCGCCAAAATTGGGTGATTTGGCCGGGATGTAGTGGAACTGGATCGATTGGGAGGTGGTCTCGTTGGAAACGGCATGGCGATGCCCTTGCGAGCGAAATAGATCGCGAAGTTCCCGTCCAGCGCCCACAAAATTAGTCGCATTGTCGCAATAAATGTGCTGTGGCCGACCCCTCCTGGCTATGAAGCGACGAAGGCTGCCGATGAATGCTGCTGTCGTTAGCTCGCTGACCAGCTCCAGATGCGATGCTTTTGTGGCCATGCAGACGAAGACAGCCACGTAACTTTTCGTCGGTGCAGATCGAGGGCTTGGTCGTTGGAGATAGAATGGGCCAGCAAAGTCGACTCCAACGTTTTCAAAGGCGAAGGACTGTGTGACACGAACCGCTGGCAGCGACCCCATCAGCTGTACAAGATTGCGTGGCCGGGCCTTCACGCAGGTGACACACGAATGTACTACATCTCGAACGAGGTTCCGGCCGCTCAACGGCCAGAATTTTTGACGAATGACTGCCAACAAGAGTTGCGGGCCACAATGTAGCTGCTGCCGGTGTAAAGAATCAGCAATCAACCAGGTTAGCGGATGCTTGTACGGTAGTACGTAAGGGTTTTTCCCGTCACTAGTGACTCCGGCGTGTTCGAGCCGGCCACCAACTCGAATAAGACCAGCACGGAGCTCCGGATTGAGGTAGCGTAGCTTTGACGAGTGCGGGACAGTTCTGTCGGCTTGAAGAGCGGCAATTTCGGACGGGAAGTGTTCCTGTTGGATCACGCGAAGCACTCCGAGCAGAGCTTGATTTTGCTCTTGTACAGTGATCGGACCGTACTGATAGGTTTTCGCAGGAGCAATGGTTGGCTGATTGCGACGGTCTGCAAGGCTGCGACAGTTATTAGCAAAACGCCTGCAGAGTGCACCAATCCGTAGGAATACGGTAAATGACGAAAACCGAGTTATGATATCGCTTACTTGCGATTCCGTGATAGGAAGCGCTATTCCCTTTTTAGCTTCAAGGTCCTTTTCCTTCAGTCGGCCGAGATCTTCTGGTGGCTGCGGCCAAGGAAGGTTAGGAGCACCGAGCCACAGTGGTCCATTCCACCAAAGTGAATCGTCCAAAAGTTGACTCACATCCATGCCCCGTGAGATGATATCAGCGGGATTTTCTTCGCCGGGCACATGGTTCCAGGTGCAGTTGATTGTTAACTCCTGAATTTCAGCGACACGGTTCGCCACGAACGTTTGCCAGGTGGATGGACTTCCAGACAACCAGTGGAGCACAATTGTGGAATCGGTCCACAGAAATATGCTTTCCTTGATTCCAATGCTGCTGCAGACGGAAAGAAGCAACCGGGATAAGAGCAGCGCTGCACATAGTTCCAATCGTGCTATGGATTTGTTGTTTAGTGGAGCGACTCGTGATTTAGCTGCCAAAAGTCGAATGGTGACGTATCCATCCGCTGCGATCGTTCGTAGATACAGGCACGCTCCGTAGGCGTGTTCCGATGCATCGCTGAACCCGTGAATTTCAACAACGGAAGGGCGACGCAGCGACTGAACATGCCGAGGAAATCGAAAAGTTTGCAATCGGCTGAAGTGACTCTGGTACTCGTCCCATTCGGTTGCGAATGCCCTAGGCAGCGGATGATCCCAGTCGTAGTCCAGCTTCCATAGCGTTTGCAGGATGATTTTGGCCTTCACGACGGCTGGACCAAGCAGTCCTAGAGGATCGAAGCAACTGGATGTCTGTGATAGAATGATTCGCTTCGTGTATTGCTCACACTTGGAGAACTTCGGCATCTTGTAGAGAAGCGAATCAGTTGCCGGCTCCCACAGAAGCCCAAGGGCCTTGACAGGAGCTTCGGAGTCAAACTCAATGAGCGATTTTGTCTCTCGACACTCTTCTGGAATTTCGTTAAGAATTTCCTGGTGATTCGAGGATATTTTGCGGAGTTGCATCCCAGCACTCTCGAATATTCCGAGAAGTTGGGAGCAGAGTTGCTTCAGCTTCTCCAGATCATCGCATCCCGTGAGTAGATCATCCATATACATGTCCTTGCGGATAACCACCGCCGCCAAAGGAAATCGATCCTGTTCATCCTCCGCGAGCTGCTGCAGGACACGTGTAGCGAGGAATGGAGCAGAACTGGTACCGTATGTAACGGTCAGGAGTTGAAACACCTTCATCGGCTCCGCGCTGTTCTTTCGCCAGTAGATCCGGAGAAGTCGTTGGTCGAGAGGATGCTTGAGGATCTGGCGATACATCTTGCAGAGATCGCCCATGATGACGAAAGCTGGCATCCGAAAACGGAGTACGATTGCGTTGATCGTGTCCTGGATAGTTGGACCAGTCAGGAGGACGTCATTCAACGATAATCCGGAGCCACTCTTGCAGGAAGCATCAAAAACAATGCGAAGCTTCGTGGTCGTGCTGTCAGGGCGAAGAATGGCGTGATGCGGTAGGTAGAACTGCGGAACATCGTCGTTTTCTGCTGCCAATTCTGCCTGTGGTATCTCCCGCATATGGCCCAAACGCAGATATTCGTTGATGAACTCTTCGTATTGAGCACGTAGTGCGGGGTTCGCGTTCAGTTTCCGCTCAAGAACGAGAAACCGACGCACTGCGTTGTGTTTGTTGTTCTGAAGACGAAGCAGGAGTTCTTCTTTCACTGGTAGACGAACTTGATATCGACCCTCTTCGTTGCGAAATACGTTGGCTACGAAGTGACGCTCACATTCCTTCTCTGATGGAGACCAGCAATTAGTCGGCGAACACTGTTCCAAGTCCCAAAAGCGTGCCACCAACTGTTCCAGTTTTTGATTTTGGGTGAGAAAACAGCTTTGGACTGGCGAAGCAGATCGATTCGAGCATTCACCGGATACAATCCAGCCCAGGATAGTGCTTTGAAGGAGGGGTAAGCGTTCACCGAGAGTTATCCTACCGTAACGCAAGAGCTCAAAGAAAGTTCCGGCGCCCAGGAGCGCATCCACCGGTCCTGGAGTACAGAATGTAGGATCGGCCAACGTTATCCAATTGGGAATCTCCCAATCTACCGTCGTAATCGTGTGTACCGGTTGGTCACAAGAAATAGTCTTCAATACGAGAAATTTCAGCTTCTTTTCGAACGCAGAAATCCGAGACGAGATTGTAGTTTCAACTGCCTTCGTAATTGGAGTCACAAGCTGCCCTACGCCACCAAGGTTGACGTGTTCTGGAGAAACTTGTAAATTTAGACGTTGATGAAGGGATTCTGTCATCAGATTGAATTGCGAACAGCTATCTAAAAGAACCCTAGCAACGACCCGAGCTCCACAGTTGTCCTCAAAGTTGACCAGCGCCGTGCACAGTAGAACTGTTTCGTTGGGAAGCTTCGCCGAGTGTGCCACCAGCGCCGCAGGTGGGTTCGATTGTGGCTGAGACGAAGTGGACAGGGGTGCGACTGGTACTAATGCAGACTGATGGACGGACACAAGAGTTGAGGTAGAGTTTGATCCACTAGGGCCAGGTGTAGGATGGGTCGAAGCGGAATCAGGTGGACAGGTGGAGGGAGCCATAGACTGCTGACCGCTGTTGGTGTTGGACGACGATGCTGAACAATTCGACTCCAACGGTTGCAGATGGATGAGCGTATGATGACGTTTCTTGCATTTTCTACAGCCATCCGAAGAGCAGTCTTTGCAACCATGCGAAGTGGTTTTCATGCAATTCAAACACAGGTGATGCTGTTTCACAAAATCGAATCGTTGTCTTGGAGAAAGTTTTCGAAACTTGAAGCACTGGTACAGAAAATGATCGCTTCCGCACTGCAAACACTTGCGACCGGCTGCTGTTTCCCCAGACGACGATTGAGCAACATGCAACGTTGAATGCTTCGGTAAAGACCTTGCCTTGACTTCACGGGAACGACCAAGATTTGGAGCGAGGGCTTGAAGAACGCGAGCATGACCTTGCAGAAACGTTACCATATCCGAGTACTTTGGCATCTGGTTGTTCTGCGGCTCTTCCTTCGCAATCACATTGCGAACAATATGGTTTTCCCATTCACGGAGTGTGTTTTGGTCTAAGCGGAGGCTGAGCTGATAGACGAGGATTGTACTCCAGGTGCCAGTTGGTTCCCCAAGCTTTTTGAGGATGGCGATGTTCCGATCGAAGCTGTCGACAAGGTTCAGCAGTCCCTCTGCCGATTCTTGCTTCATCGGAGGAGTGTCGAAGAGCTCCGCGAGATGACATTTCACCAGTATCCGCTTGTTGTCGTATCGGTTGACTAAACGCTTCCAGGCTTCAGCGTAATTCTCGTCACTGATGGGAATTTCCGCAATTAGACCCGCTGCTTCACCTCGTAGAATACTCTTCAGGTACTGAAATTTCTCCGAAGAACTCAATTCGCCAGACGAATGAACAGCAGCGTTGTACAAATCATGAAATGAGCGCCATCCGAGAGGATTTCCTGAAAATTCTGGAAGCTTCAATTCGGGGTACTTGATGTGGTTGGTGAGGGGAGTATTTCTCCGAGACGTAGACGGAACATTAAGCGGCTTCCGTTCCAACAAACTAGCCAACTGCGCCTTCAGATCGTAGTACTGGGATTCAAACCTGAACAGCTGCGTCTCGTACTCGACTGCTGGATCCGGGGACGGTAGTAGCTGGAGCTGAATGATCACCTCAACGTACTGATTGTAGAAGCACTCCAATTTATCCAACCTGACCTGTACCTGACCCGCATGCAAATCGGCATCGTACGATTCGAGAAAAGCTTCGATCGCAGCCACCGAAGAGATGAGGTAGTTTCCTCGGACATCGTATTCCAACCTCTTGGCCTCCATAGCTTCCTCCGACTTGGCCATAGCTCAAGAGACCACCAATCGACACCCACCGCCACAAAAGATCAACGGAATACAAAAGGAACGAACCCACCTGGTTTTTGAGAGCGATGAAAATACTAGCGAAAAGCCGACGGCACTACTCTGGGCTTCCTTGCGAAGATGCAGGAATCAGAAATCAGCAGACGATGTGCAGAATTTTCGCCAGTTTGCACCAGCCGATGAATCTACTATCGCTGGCTCGATCAGCAACTATTATCTTCTGCTCGTTAGCCCTTTTCACAGCACTTCGTTCTTCGCCAATAGTTGGCCACGTGATTAATCACCAGAAGCAAATATTCTTCACCACGTGGTGGTAATTAATCATGGCACTTGTTGCACGTAGCAAGAAAAATCGCTCGAGATGGTTCGGAGAATTTTCACAATGTCACAATCGTCCAAAAGCGAACAAATTCACTAGCACGTTCTTGGCGCTTTCACAACCGTTTTCCAGCGTTCAATTTTCTCGGCCACAAAGCCCGTTTGGCTTCTTTGCTTGCTCACTATTACCGGTGAACTATTGTTCCATTTACTGGTCACAGGCCAGCCGCAAAATGGCTTTTCTCAGCGTCACTTTGGCACTAGCACTTTGGTCCAGAATCCGGCTCGAAGGACCATGTTCGAAACGAGAATTGAATAAACTTGCGGACACTCGCGGGGAACTCGCGACTCCACCGACACGGCAATATTGTAGGCAACGAGAGAAGTCAAACTTTCTTCCACCGAGAATGATCTTAATCTGTTTTCTTTGAAACGATATGATTGTGTTTTTATTCGACCGATAGCAACGTGTGCACGTCCAGATCGGTGACCGGGTGGAGATCAACTGAACTATATTCAGATCTCGGCTACTACTCTACTCTACTCGATCACTACCTACTATCCAGAGAGCCAGAGAAGCTGGTGTTGGTCGGCTATCACAGAATAGGCTATTGTGATAGTCCAGGGTCAGTGAAAGTATATAAGGCAAAGGCCGACATCGATTTACAGGTATTAGGGTGGTGCGAAAACGATTATATATAATTTACTTTAGGAGTAGGATTTTAATATAAATACTTTTAAGTGCATGTATCTAGTTATAAGTTTACTTTTAAGCAATGGTATTTAAACAAATATAGAATTAAGAATTTGACCTAAACGAACTAACTAACAATACGATTTCAAATCAATGGTTACAGAACACATCTTCACAGAGGAGCTCGACCAACTATCGACGAAGGACAACACGATTTTACGAACCATATCTACACCACGGAAATTGGATGTTGCAGAGAGCCTCGAGATCAACAAACAACGGAATTCAACTTTACTCAACAGGGATCGAGGAAACGGGCACACATGTTTTTTCAAATTACTACCTAGGACTAGAGATGCCAGATTTTTTTCAGAAGCCTACGAAAAATGTCTGTGAATTTCAGAAATGTCTGTAATTGGGCTGCATAAAATTAGCAGAAGTTTTGCGTATGCGGTGTCACGGGAGAGTTGTGAAATAGTCATGTTCTTCGAGCAAAAAAGACGAGCTTTTAATTAATTGAACCTAATTGGAGTTGGGAATCGTTAACAGCAATTGATTGTCAGCAATTAATAAAAATAACAATTACGATTATGCGACAAGTTGAGATTAGTTCCCTCATATTTTTGAAAACGTAGTTAACGCATAGACTGAGTAAAATGCTTTTTCTAACATGAGAAACATCTCGATGTACATATGAAATTAGTACACGGAATAAAGTTTTCGTGTAGTTTCCATTGGGAATGCACATAATATTTTTGCATTAACAAAACCAATTATATCTATCTGAATTTCACGTAGCATTCATGAGCTCTATATGTTAAATCACTTAAATTTTATTTTACACATACGGTTCATGTGATTTTGTGGTGCATTCCTTATATGTGATTTATTCTTAGAGTGTTTACTTCTAGAATGAGTAAATTTTTCGTCGATTATTCTCATATTTGAAAAAAATTATAAAAGCTCAAAAAATTTTACTCTGTCTACAAGTAAACTGCGTCTTCTAGAGGGCATGCCATGTATTGAGGAAACCCGTTAGTTACTTAGTATGTACTGGTCCTTTTTGCAGGCCAGCAGCGGGGGAACGAGCTCATCTAAGTGAGAGATTCAACTTTTCACCACCTAAATATGGAGAAATCGACAATCAAAAGAGAAATGTATAAGGTTATTAATACGATTCTAAACATTTCGTGCTCAAAAAGTGTTGATGAATCAGAATCAGGGTTGCTGAAACGATTCAGATAGGAAGGAATATAGAAATAAAGAACATCGAGCAATGTAGAGTACTCTACAACGAAGCCGAGTACGATTAATTGGCGCTAAACACTAACACAGTTTTGAAATAAGATATAGGGGAAATGGATGTAACGTCGGCTCTTAATTTGGGCCCATACATAAATTCAGCAAACGACCAAATTTTCAATAGCGACCAAAAATATCCATTAGTACCGTTGTAATGACGCGTTCATGTAGATAAAATTGATAAATAGCAGATTTTTAGCGATGGGCCCAATCTTAGATCCATAGGCCAACATTAGAGCCATTTCCCCTATCAAACAACATATTCATTACATTTTGCAAAATAACACCTGGGGGAGAAAAACTTGGCTAAATATAACACAATTTGCTGATACCAACCTTTATGTCGATTTTGACATAAATTTGAGTCATAACAGACGCGAAATATAGCTCAATCAAACGTACTTTTCGTCGTGCAAAGAATTTTTCAGTCTCGGAGCACTTAATATTACAAGTCATTAGTAGTAGCTCAAAGTGAATAAACCTAAAATTTAAACTAAATATTTCTGTAGTTAAATAAAAGGTGTGGAAGAACTCTTGTTCTTAGTTTGGTGGAACCGAAAATTGCAAGTGTGTGTATCACTTTCTTCCCTGTGCGCACACTGGGGCCGTGCTGTGGCCACAATTCGCAAAGTTGAGACACAACGTAGGATTGAGACACAACGTAGGATTGAGACACAACGTAGGATTGAGACACAACGTAGGATTGAGACACAACGTAGGAGTAAGTTTGAACATTTTTTATGTCAATCTTTTATGTCAAAGATGGATTCCGTCACGTGTAAACTTAGTTATTTCTAAGTGTGTACACCAAGGTGTACCGAAAGGCTATGATATGACTTGAAAAACACAATTTCGTTCCAAGACCCGGAGAGACGAATGGCACATATCAATAGACTCATCTCAGGGGGCTGTGCATTACGCACCTCACTTTACCTCAGCTAACTGGCGCTTCCACTTCGCTGATCACCTCTCCAATTTGTGAGCTATTTAGCTCCCAGCATCGCGTTCTATTCGGTTAACCCCGGTGGTGGATTCAACCTACTCTGACGGAGAGTTCTCCCGGCTTTCACTTCGCACTTGTGTACTACTTTCTAGCTGGTCTTCTCGCCACTGCGTAGCTGCTCAGCTGACGGCGTTAAAGGTGCCCTCCCCTCGAAACATTTCTTCAACGACATACTCCGCGCTAAGGGCGAGCATCTCCTCTCGCACAGCATCAAATCTAGGACATTCGAAGACCACGTGGTCTGGTGATTCCTCCACATTTCCACACTGCGGACAAAAGGGTGACGTTGTGTCTCCGAACCGTTGTGTGTCCTGAAGCAGCCATGACCAGACAAGAACTGCGTCAAGTGGAAGTTGACTTCTCTATGCTTCCTGTTCACCCAAGTCGAAACAATCGGTATTAGCCTGTGTGTCCAGCTACCCTTCTCCGCTGCATCCCACTCCTGCTGCCACTTAGCCATCGATACCGTTCTCACAATTTTTCGTACTTCTTTCGTCATATAGCACTCGTAGTCCTCCGCCAAGGTTATACCGATTGGGATCATTCATACCGGGGATAACGCATACTGCCTCATCGAAATGGTTCTGTACGCACTCACGACTCGCATGGCCATGAGGCGGAACGTAGTGCTCAATGTCCTTTGGTTCTGCTTCGTTTTCAGCGCTTCAATCCAGGCTGGACCTCCGTATCGTAGTATCGATAAGGACACACTAGTCAGAAGACACCTCTTGCTGCTGCTTGGACCATAACTGTTCGGTATGATTCTGGCTATTGATTACTTGACGTTCATTACTTACGCCGCCTTCTCGAAAGCATATTCTATGTGGCTGTTAAAGTTTAGCCGGTCGTCGATCATCACTCCCAGATACTTCAGCACGCGCTTCGAAACAATGGTGTGCCCTCCAACGGTGATTTCTGCCCGCTGCACTGCTTTACAGCTACTGACATCAGTTCTGTTTTGTAGTGGGCTATCTCCAGCTTCGTGATGGAAGAATGGAGCCTTGTGGAACTCCCGCCGTGATTCGAAGCGATTTTTGCCTCGTGTCTGTCTAGTAGACCAGGACCCGGTTCTGGTAGTAACTACTTAGAATCCTGCAGAGGTAGTCTGGAACCCTCATTCTATGGAGCGCCTTGGCGATGGCTTCCCAGCTGGCACTATTGAATGCATTCTTCACATCAATCGTAATCACGGCGCAGTATCGATCTCCTCTCCGCTTCTGTTTGGAAGCTTTCCCGGCTCTGTCAATCACTGTCCGAATTGCATCCACCGTCGATCTCCCTTTCCAGAATCCGAATTACCTCTCCGACAACCCGTGTTCACTCTCCGTGCATTTCGTCAGCCTGTTCAGGATAATCCTCTCCAAGAGCTTTCCGACAGTATCCAGCAAGCATATTGGCCTATACGATGCAGGATCCCCCGGCGGTTTTCCGGGCTTCGGTACAAGCTTTTGTAGCTTCGACCTATCAGGGAACTGACCCTCGTCCAGATATTTCTGCAGCACCATCCTGAACATGCCCGGAAACGTCTGGATCGCCGCCTTCAACACCACGTTGGGAATTCCATCCGGGCCGGGAGCTTTCTTCGCCTTCATCAACCGTTTCAACCCCTGGTTGTGTGAGTCCATTAGCACAAGGATCGGTAGATCTACCAGAGTGATGAGTGATTGTATCGAGAATAGCTGTGGCTGTGATCGCCAACTCTTCTCTCTATTCCAGTGAACCCTGGACACTGGGGGGAGGTCAAGGTTAGCTGCAGTGAGGAGAGCTTTGTTCCCCTCGTTGAGGAGAAAGACCCTATAATTCCCGGATGTCTTAGCAGCGAGGGCAGCGGCTTTCGTAGCAATTGCTGCAGTTGATCGATAGCGGAAAGGGAAAATTACGATTTTCACACAAGCGACATCTGCATGCGTGGAAGGGATAAGGCCGGATACGATGCGTACGTAGGTATTGATGCCGGAGCGAGCAGGTAATTTCGAGGCCGTCGAAAAGTCGACTATCGATAACAGCCCGGGCGGCACGAAGGCGGATATCACGGTTGCTGTAGCGGCTTCAACAGTTTTCTTTCATCGTCCTGAAGTGCTGGTCGAAGCTTAAGGTATGATCTAGAACTACCCCCAGAACACACACTGTTTTCTTGAGAGGAATCGAATGGTTTTGGGTGGTGATCGATGGTCCCCGAATCAGAAGGCTCGAGTGGCAGATATGGCACCGTACACTCTTCGGCGCCCAGAGCTGGAAACCAACCGAAAGCGGTGGAGACTGCTTGTTGGGCTGTATTCGAGTTCCACTTACTCGTTCTCGGCAGTCGGCTGGTGAACACCCCGTTCATTGTCACTAGGAATAGCGTTACCGCTATGACGGATCCCTGGGGCACTCCAGTTTCTTCGGGGAATGGATCCGAGCGAGTGTTCCCGACAGTCACCATGGAATTCCTTAAGTACCTAGAGCCGCAAAGTAATTAGAGAAGAGATGTAAACACCTCATAAAGGAGGATTATCTGCTCGCCGCGTTATTCTTCGGAATGGACCCCTTGGCTGCACCATTAGCTCCGCCAATGCCTATTTCTAGTAGTATCAATACTATTAAATAGTTCAAATATTGAACCACAAACCAGCTAAACGTACTCACTCTCTCCAAGTTTATTCATTTGGAACCGCACACAGGGCTCCGGCATGTCAATTAGGCTTTGGGTCATATTGCTTTCAAATTAGAGGCAAGTTGCTTTAATCGCCTGTTTTGGTGACCCTATCCACATCTCTTAATCTCGAGCAGCGACGCGTGATCGTAAATCAATAGAAAACTGCACGACTGCATCAACATCGATTGCAGTGTCAACAAATAATAAAGTAGGCATCACGCGTGGTCAGTTGCATCTTGAGACTCCTACTGGCGGTAAGAGTGACCAATAGAAACACATCAACTAGCTCACCAACCACGCGGTGGTTCGATGTTATCTACGAAGCTAAAGTTGCCGAACGAACGTCGCCGTCGTTGTCTCGGTTGTCGTAGCACGCGCGTTGGGTGGTAGAGTGAGGTGGTTCCTAGCCTGCTGCGGCTGCCGCTCAGCTGAACCGATGCGATGAGGATGGAGAGAGCTTTGGAAAACAGAAAACCCACCGACCAGCCATCGTCAGTCGATAGGGAGCTTTTGTGCGGGAAACAACGTATGTTCGTTCACACATTGGACACCGATCGTGGTTGAAGGCGCGCGCGAGTTGAGTTTCGAATTTCCAGAAGAAAAGTGCAATATTTGTGTACTGTTTGCTTTGTGTTGTTGGTGAGACACGGAAATACGCGGGAGTCGCTCCGGAAAGGTCACTTTATGGGAGAAGCCGGCAGTGCGTTCCAGAGCGAACAAAAGGTGTGTTTGTGTGTGTCATATCTGTGTTTGGCCTATCGATTGATTGGCATTACTATTTAATTGCGGTGGGAAAAAGTGAAATGTTGACCATCAGTTATCGAGAGCTGCATAGCGTGTGTCACAATCTGCTGAATAAAAGATGAGAATCTGAAATCGTGTAAATGCTGTTTATGGGAAATCGATAGCTAATCACAGACGGGTGAACTAGACAGAAAACTGACTCATCTCCGGATCGCCAAACCAAACAAGTATTGCAGTCGTCGTGGGTTGGTGCGATGTAGCGAAAAATGAAAACACAAACTTTCACAAAACCAGTTCCTTTCGCGCGTAAGATACGAACCTCGGCGGGTGATGATAGCGTCAGTGACGGCAGCCGCGCGCAGTCACGATTTGCATATGTAACAACATCAACCATAACAAAAACAACAACAACAGCAACATCGTCTACCCCAACTTATAAGCTCTTATAAGATGTTATATGAGAGATAGCTATTTTGCAATTTTGCCAAGACGTCTGACGCCTTGTCTTGTTGTGTTCGGTCTGGAGACGGAGGGAGGGAGGGCGAGAGCTGATACCACGTGAAAGGTCACGCGTTGTTCTGCCAAATCCATAACTTACTGAATTGCAGATCAACATCAGCGACAAATTCCACTGCGAATGCGGGAAACAATGCCTTTGTATGTACGTTCGGGGTCGAACCTGGACTTCTAGGTTAATTACAGGGGAACCCTCTATAATCTAATGTCTCAACCTGAGCTGCATGCGTGCGATTACGAGGAAAATACCCGTACATACTGGGATTCCGGGACTTTGCGATGCGTCACAAATAAACCGACGGCGTCTACCTACTGTCTATGTGGTGCTGTGCAGTGACGGATTGTCCGCAAGGCAAAAGCAGTTTACCAGGGCCGGTGATTTGACAACGTGATTAAGTTTCCACTAATGACCCGAACCGTTGTTAATTGTTTGATGGACGTGGACTCTACTTGCTATATGGAAAACTGCAAACTGTGTCGTTTGAGTTGGAAAGCTGCGAGCATAACTGTAGATGATTTTTCTTAAATAATCGTATAGCCTAGAGAGACGACGATCGTTTTCTGTGCGATTTGAGATGCTTCAAGTCCGGTTGGAGTTAGTGGGAAAGCGTAAACGTAGCCTATTACAATCTAAAGGGCCTCTCTTAGCTCAGTCGGTAAAGGCGCAGTTATGCAGAAAGACATCGCTATTTCTTAAATTTTCTAGACACAAAAGTTGTGCTGGTCGCACAATGTAAAGTGTGGCCCATTTAGAATTGGAACATAAACAATTGCACATATTTCGGATATAGATTAACATTGTAGAAAACCTGTTTCAACTTAAATGTTGGATTTTTCGAAGAAATTTTCGGATTTTCCCCGGAATACGCGCACATTATTCTCATCCATCGTTTTGGCAAGCTTATTTCATTTGGTTTTCAATTCATTGATTTTTTGCCGACACTGCCATTCACCTTCAGCTTCCTCTGTATAATAGCCCAAAATCTCTTTTTGGTCTGAGCTGAGGACAATTAGGTGGGTTGAGTTCGTTTGGAATACACTGAATCCCGTTCGATTCTTACCACTGTAGCACAGTTTTACCATTTTACTGTAATGACAGCTCGCAAGATCTGGCCAAAAATGACAGGTTGCTTGTGGGATCGGATGAATGGCAATTTTCGCTTTTCGGAGACATTCCGTGCTGTAAAGTTCTGAATTGAATGTCTTATCCGTGATGAAAACCTATGTCTTCCTACCACAGCTACAGATGCCCTCTCTAATAAACATGTCCATTAAAGAGAGCTTAACGACGTGTTAGGTCTGCAATCACAATCTTGAATTTGGCAGGAATAATTCTCTCCTGTCCCGGTAGCTAATTGAAATCGACCTTCACGTAGGCTTCATCATCGATCTGATCTGGTTGTCTGCAGGCACGGTATGACTTGAAGCCTTCCCGAAGACGAATTCGTTGCGACACCGAACTTTTTGGTCAAATCGCGATCCGAGATGTTTGGATTAGACCTAGGGTTAGACCTAAGAGAAAGTGGAGACAACTGGCTTCTTTTTGTCAGTGACGTGTTCTTCTTCTCTCGCGGAAACGACCGTGAAAAACTATTGCATTATGGGCGACGCAGTCGACTATCAAAATACAAGAAAATAGATTCCCTGTTGTAAAAATTCTCGCGTTTCTATACGTTCGCCCGACCAATCAGACGCTCCTCTTCATCTTAGGGTTAGACTTAATTGGCTTGATGTCATTATTCCGCAGTTGACGGTTGACAGTAAAGCTGGGTTTAGACTAGGCAAGTCAAATGATCAACTCAGTTGAATTCAATTGGCTTGAAAAGTTGCACCTGGTTCAACTTTTTTCAATTCAAGTGAGTTGATCAAGTCAGTTGAATGGCATAGTTTACACGTTCAATTCGCGTTCAAGTCAGTTGAATTCAACTGACTTGATTAATTGACTTGCCCTGTCTAAACTTAGCTTAACCGCCCGACGCTTGCTTTGTGGCTTGCGATCCGTTGAAATGGTTTCTCTGAACTTTTTTCAGTACACGCCACACAGTATATCTGGGAAAACCTAACACTTTTGCAAGTTTAGGTCCAGACCACGAAGGTTTTTCCAAAAAATTATTAACAATTTCTTAAAGGACACAGTTTTAATTAACAATCTCTAAATAGCCATTGACTTGCTCTCATAGCGCTTATCACGTTGGTGCTTTTCTCGACTAACTTTATAGCGAAACTGAATAAACTTCTTCATGATTTTCGTTTTAATATTATGGCAATCAAGCATATGTCGGGCTGGTACACCTAACATCAACAAGAAAAGGACGTTTTCTATATCTTGGTAGAATTTATAGTGTGTCGATATTCTTCTTAAAAATTTCCTCCAATTCAAGAAAAAAAAATTAAGTCAGTACATTGACGCAAACGAGGGCGCTTTTGGTGAAATCTTTCAGTTGTGCAACTATCGACACATTCCTCGCAAACATCATTCCTGTGTAGAATTTATTTTAGAACCATGCCGGCTTTGTAGTATACTACAAAGCCGGCATGGTTCTAAAATAAATTCTACACAGGAATGATGTTTGCGAGGAATGTGTATACCACATTTTGTTCCGATGACCGATTACACAAATTATTACATAGTTTTATGCAAGAATCTTCATCTTCGATGTTGCCTACATTCTCGCTGGTCCCAAGTGTAGGAATTATTGCTGACATCTTCCATATATTGAGAAACCGTGGGCAATCTCAAACTATCCTTGGCGATGCCTCATATGAGAAAATATATTCTCGAGACAATCTTGCGTGAACCTACTACGCAAGATTTTTTCAACTGGTTCGTTTATTTACAAGGCTCAGTCGTGTGTGACTCTTTGCAGAGCCAAAAACCAGTAATGTTTGAATTTACATGTTAAACAGCAGTAGTTCTAGGTTAGTATTGGGTACCAATTACTCGTGGCGGGCTCGAGGTTAATGGGTAACAATTTCGATTGTAAGGAGCTCGGTAGGAAACTGGTTTCTGAAGCCTCCTTCAGATACTACTCTCGGACGGTTGACCAAATCCTGGCTGGGCAGGGGCAAGTAGCACAGAAACAGGAGGATAATAAGACTGGAACACAATGGCTGGAAATTGTTTGGAAAGGAGGGGATGGTCACATCAAACTCTAACATCAGACAAACAAAGGAATTCGTAGATCGCCTGCATGTAGGGAAGATAACGGGTTCCCAATACATATCTTACTTCACGGAAGGGTTGTCTCCCTCGGGCCAATAGGGTATGCAACAGTTGTGCTCTGGAGGCGTCATTACCCGGGCAATACCAAATTGCGTGATCGATGTCATCATAACCGGTTCTACACCTACATATATTGCTGTCAACGAGGTTTATTCTATAGAGATGTGCGTCTAGCGAGTAGTGGTTGGACATAAGTCTTGACATCACTCGAATGAATCCCCGACTTACATCCAGACCTTTGAACCACGCTCTCGAAGAAACATTTGGAATAATGGAATGTAAACACCGCCCAAGAGAATTACTTGTCCAATCGTTTTGCAAACTTAAAAGAGAACTCTAACGTACTAATGGGAAAAATTCATCATGTGAAATTCTTCTATCATAAATTTCGCCTTGTTGTGCGCCCACCTTTGCGAGAGAGTCTGCCTTCTCATTGCCTGGGATTGAGCAATGTGAGGGGACCCATACAAAGGTAATCATATATGATCTTTCGACCAGCACAATCATCTGCTCCCTTACCTTTGAAAGGAAATAAGATGAGTGCCTACCTTGTTTCATCGACCGAATAGCCTCAATCGAACTGAGACTATCCGAGAAGATGAAGTAATGGTCTATGGGCATATCGGAAATCATCCCCAATGCGAAGTTGATTGCTGCTAGCTCAGCAACATAAACGGAACAAGGTTCCTGAAGTTTCCGAAAGGCGGTTGAGTATTCATTGAAGACGTCGAAGCCAGTGGATCCAACAAATTGCAACTGACTTGTTGGTACTTTTCAGCAAAAATACGGGGAATTGAGATAGGTCGAAGTTGATCTGGAACTCCTTGAATATCCTGTTTCATGGAGAGATCATAGTCAATGAAAGGGAGCTGTAGTTAGTAAAGCATACACGAGGGGGGTTATAGTACGGAAGGCCAATATCCGATGACATATAGTTAAGATAGTTTCGCACGAATCTAGACTGGATGCTCAATTCGAGCATTTTTTCGAAGTTTTCAATCACAAGGTTGTTACTGACTCTACACGCAAACCAAAAATCTATTACAATGAATGTTAGTTCCGTTTCCTATCATCCTCTGTTCATGAACATCGCAACGAATGTTAGAAATTGACCATGCAGGCGATGTAATGGTTTTTTGTCTTTTTTTATTTCTTAAGCGCAAACCATTTTTCAATCAGGTTGGCAGTATTCAGGACATCGGTTCTTCCGCTCTCCCTTGCATAAAGTCTCAATGCAGCT